TATCTGGGGTAAAACACACTAAAAACTGCAGAGCCAGCAGCTGAGAATCATAGAATGGTTTGGGTTGGAAAGGACCCAAAGATCATCTAGTTCCAATCCCCCTGCCATGGGCAGGGAAACCCTCCACTACACCAGGTTGCCCAAAGCCTCATCCAGCCTGGCCTTGAACACTTCCAGGGATGGGGCATCTACAACTTCTCTGGGCAACCTGTTCCAGTGCCTCACCACCCTCTGAGTGAAAAATTTCTTCCTTATATCCAATCTAAATCTACCCTCTTTCACTTTAAATCCATTGCCCCTTGTCCTATGACTACATGCCCTTGCAAAAAGTCCCTTCCCACTTTCCTGTAGGCCCCCTTTAGGTACTGGAAAGCTGCTAGAAGATCACCCCGGAGCCTTCTCTTCTCCAGGCTGAACAGCCCCTACTCTCTCAGCCTGTCTTCATAGCAGAGGTGCTCCAGCCCTCGGATCATCTTCGTGGCCCAATCTCTATCTCCAAACTGTAAGTCAGTATCTTGATCATCTTGTGGTAACCTACAGCTACCCAAAAATGAAAATGCAACCTTTCCAACTGAAAATCAGGCTGCTCAACAAAATTGAGTACGCACAAGAAGCATCCTTCTATTACCCAGACTACAGAAATATCTCAGCATAAAGTCAATGCTCAATTCTACCATCAGCTAATTCAGCTTCATTAAGGGTCAGTTCTGCTGGAGTTTTGCCTGCTTTGCACCAGGACCATATCTAGCTTATTATATCTCTTGCAGTCACGTTTCTCGGGGTATGTCTAAAAAACAACTAAAACATGCTGGAAGTAGTATAATCATAATGAAACAGACTTGATCATATGTGCTATTAATTTTGAGATTTTTATTGTTGGAAGACAACACTGAAATCCTTCAGAGTTAAAAAAACACACCATACAAATTGAGGATCAGTCCACTAGAACGGACAACTACTTCTGTAAGCGCATCATCAATACTCAAGAACAGGACTTCAGAAACTCTACTGGCAGAGACTAATGATTTCAAAGAAATCAAAATGAATGAGAATTGCTACCAACACAGCTGCCACACAGGCTACTAGGAAATGCCAGACAAAATCACTACGTCTATAGTCAGGACTACATAGAGAAACCAAGTAAATTTTTGATTTCTCATTAAATACATATCACCTTTTTTGTTGTCGTTGTTTTATTCAAGGACATCAGAAGGATAAAGTAAGCAAGCGTTAGAAGTTTCAACAGATATCTATTTTTAAAAATATTTGGAAGATTTAACAGAAGACAGAAATTGCTCATATCCCTTCCTTTTCCAACAGATATATGCCCCAGGAGAGCTAGAAAGCTCAGGTGCTCCCAGTTAGTCTAACACTTCAGCTTATACCAGTGATGATGGTGTGCTAGCACTTCATATTAAACACTAGCAGCTGTGTCAGATGCAGCACAGACACACTCCGTTTTACCACCTATGCTCCAGGGAACAAAAGCTGGCAAAAAGGCAGAGTAAGGATGGAAACATTTAACTACTACAGGTTTTTCTGACAGAGAGCTTGAAATTCATTCTTAGACACTATTTAAACTCAGGGACACTTAGATTAATTTTAGTCAAATACACCTACTAATTAAGATAAACAAAAAAAAATGTGGGCTGTTTGCATCATTCACTGGCACTTTTTTTCTTAGTTCTTGAATTGCTTCCTCCACAATGGAAACAGCAAGTAATTACAAAATTTCAGTGAATAAAATTTGTAAATTGATGCAAAAGAGCAGCTACAAATCTCAATTTCCTTGATATGATTTGTTAATTTATATTTTTTTTAATGAAAGGCCATCTCCCAGTACTGAATTTGTATTCCTATTTAAGAACTGACAGAAATAGTCTTTTTGAACAGTGGTAATGCCACCACATCAAAGCGATGAGGACATCACCTTTAGCCAACTTGGGTCTCAGAAGAGACTGCAACTCCTACCTTCTACACATTGAAATACAGAGTATTTCAGTAGCTACTATAAAAAGTAGCTACCTAGAGACAGCCAGTCAACTGCGGGAGACAAGAGGAGCTTTGCAGGGAACGTTTAAGTTGAGCAATGCCAACCATGGTGGGGTTTCCCTTCTTTATAGGCAGTACAAAAAAATCCAAGGTGCAAAGACCAGTTACTTCACCACATCACAGCAAGCAACATACAATGTAGCCAGAGTCAAGATAGAGCCAGATGGGTAGTAGTGCGGTCAGCAATGGTGAACTTTGAGCTTTGGGAGAGTGAGCTCTGATCCTGGCTCTTGTCCAACATGATTCCTAATCGATCTTGAGAGGTCCTAGCCATGCAATGCAAGACTAGTTCTTCCTGACAATTTTTTATGCCCAGATGCATTTACCTCCCCAGTCTGTAAAATAAAGCTGCAGTCTACCATTCAATACTATACAGTGTATTCACGTCTATCTCACATGTACCCCAAAGCCTATGTGAAAATTGGCAATAATTAATAATCCTGCAAACACTTACCCAGAGAGGTAAATGTACTTATACAAATAATTTTATTGACTTTAGGGAAACAACCCACTTGGTTATGATCCAAATATGCATTTTCTTTGCAAGTTCAAGACGATTTCCTTGGGTCCCTTGCGACTGATATCGTAATTCCACGACAGTATTCTCATAGAATAGACAGATAATTTAAAAATGTATTCATTATTTACTTTGCTACCAGCATCCTCTATGAAACATGCTTCCTTTCATATACAAACAAATTATGATCATTCAGATAAGCTTTCATAATCAATTTTTCCTGGTCAGCATAATGGCTAACAAAAACTTCTTAAATCAAATGCATATCTCATTCTCATTAAAACTATGTATTCTATAGCATCATATAAATAACACCACACAGATGCAAGTCAAAAATCTCTAACTTAACTAAAGAATTACAACATACTCTATCAAATCAGGAAGTCCTTTGTAGACATCTTCATCATCAACACTTTCTTCTGTAGGGAAGGGCCTACAGAAAGAAAAATATCATGAATTATATATAGCACTAGTCCAGTTGCATAGTGAGTATTTGGTTTGTAAATTTTCACACAGGTTACTAAATGTTAATGTGTTTGTATGTTCCCCTCCTTCTCTGATGAACAGTATGCATCGTATTTAGACTTCTATATATAAATTGATAATATAATAAAGAACCCTACTGGATGGTGCTGTTATAAATCACCACTAACACATACCATTGTGTAATAACACCAGCCTTTTCTACTGATAATATTAACTACTCTTTTTAGCACAGGACATGGATTACAGGACTGGTTGGAGAATCTTGACAATGTTTTACAAACATCGTTCATTCATATATGATAAGACTGCTGAATCAAACCAGTCAAAAAGACAGAGAACACCAAAGCATTAAGTCTTTCTCCTTCTCTCACAGCCCACAATTGTAGCTCATGAGATTAGGCTTGGTTGGGGGTTTTTTGTTTCTTTTTGAAATTGAGAATCTCACAAACTTGACAGTTCTGTTTATTTTCAGAAGGGAAAAAGAAAAGAAAACTCACTTGTCTTTACATAGATCAGCATTGCATCAGCCTGACTTAGAATCCATCTGTCACAATTATCACACAAGTTCTGTAATACTAACTGCTTATTCATTCATTTTATCCTTCAGCACAAGAAATAAGTGTAGTTCAGGCACTTCAGTATGCGTAACACAGGTAAAAGATACCCTTCAGAGCTCCCCAGAGGTCCAGAGACTTGTTTAACTCTCCACTGGACAATCTGGTTTACAATCAGAGAAGTTCTTACCGAGGCACACTGCCTATACTGCCTCTAACAACTTTTCCAAGGAGCGTCATGTAAGAGGCATTATTCCCACCACTCACTAGGGCAACAACATACCTTATTCCTGTGCCTATTGCAATAGGAGTGCGAGAAAGTTTTGAAAGCGTTTCTATCACCTGGAGAAGGAAACAGAGACCACGATTAGCTGTAGAACAAGAGCATTAAAATATTTTGTTCTCTATTGTGTAATTATCAGCAACACCATTTCACATCAAATGATATAAACAGACACAGAATCTGGCTGTGCCAAACACTGAGTGCACTGAAATTCCACGGATTTCCCATGAGCTCGTCTTCAGTGCTTTTGTACTTGGGGATGTGATGGAAGTACAAAGAGAGGAAAAGGGAAATCTCTTATTTACAAGTTTTAGCACAAGTAAAAGCCAATTTAAATGGATTTAAAAACAGGTCATATATGTTACAAGTTAGACATTCAATTTGCAATTGTACTTGGATGCAATCGTAATCAAATTCTATCTTATAGACTGCATGGAGTATCTTCTTGCATTGTAGCTCCACAAAGGAAATCCCGAAACAATAATTTGAGCTTTTCCGAACACTGGCCAGAAGAGGGAGCCAAATGCCAAATCAGCAGAAAACCACCTCAGGCCGTGCTTGCAAAGGAAAAGTAATCTCTTATTGCCAAACAGTGAAAGAAGCTGTAGATTTGAGCCCATAAGCTTTGTGTATTTTTAGAAGACGGCAGCAGTCGGGAAGATCTCATTCTAAGAAAACAGCTCCTCTAAGCTCTCAAGGTTATACAATACGGGAGCGAGAACACTAGGGAGGGTAGAATACATGTAGGTATGGTCACATGCATAGAGTTACTTTGCTGTCAGCCATAATAACACCGGACTAACTTGTACTCTGCCTAGCGTGTCCTCTCTGTCACAAATATTGTCTCTTATTTTGAATGCTACCAGACTGGCAAGTCTTATTTGCTAGAGACAGGAAAAGAACCAAAATGACACCCTGCCTGAGTTTCCATATTTCCAATGATAAGGTTCCCCTGAACTTCCCAGAAGTTTCAGGTTGGATCTTAACAAATTAGAATCCATATAAATTGAACTGAAATTTCCAAAGGTGGTTTTTATCAGTAGTATCAAAGTTCAGTATAGGAATTCTACATTCCATGGGCATTTGGTAATAACCTCTACAACTAAAATTCTTTATTTTTGAGGTTCTAATTACAAGACTAACTTGACCATAAAACACAGAGTTAAAAGTACATCTCTCAAAGGAAGAACAATGACATGTTTACACAAGAGAATGGCAAAGTTAAAACTACAGAGAATAATCACCAACTACAGAGTTTAAATTGAAGTTACAAACCCTCCAAAGTAAATCAGGTCCCATATGCAGATGTGCAAAATTCAGAATGAACTAAGGTATACTACACCTGTGAAAGGAACATTTTGGGCACATTTAAGCTGCTGTGAAAATTAATGTCACAGAAAAACTGGTTTTGCCTTACAGGAAAGTCAAAGAAAAATAAAAACAAATAAATATGCTAAGAACATCATTAAAGGTGAAGGCACATTAATTCCTCTAGGAACAGAAGAGCTGCAACGCAGCCTAGAATAGGTTTTGGAAAATATGAATAAAATTTGATTGAATAAGTCATGAAGTTAATTAAAATCTATCTCACATTAGTCAAAAAGAAGAAAAAAAAACTCCTTTAAAAAGTCTTGTTGCAGGGGAGTTCTGGTTTCTGTACCAGACAAAAACCTGGCTCTGCACATCTGGGAGAATCCCAGGACATGGCTTCAAGGACTGCTAAGCCACATGAGACAAGACATCGTGGGAAGTTAACTAAAAACTCAGTAGCTGACAACATGATCTGTCCTGACAGATGGGTGAACATTGATTGACAGAATCACAAGAAAACAGGTTTAATGATTATTGAAACAGAGAGGGGCAAGTATGGTGAACTAACTATTCCCTTCCTGTTTCAATGCATTATTTTCCAGCACACAGAAAACATTTTGCAAACTACTCCACCCACGCAAACCCTTTTCCTTAGAGGGATTCTCACTTACCTAGCATAATCAAACTCAGTAGAAGTGCTTACTCTTTGCAAGTAACTATGGTTGCTTCAAGATAGAACAGAAGAGATCTGTATAAAAAATTATGAATTTTTGGAAGATAACGAGCAAATGTTACTCCCAAAATGTACTGCCAAACTATGTTTTACAGCTATCAAATAAACACACACAAACAAAAGCAAGACTTATTAATTAAGAGAAACAGGAAAAACTTTTTCAGGAACTGATGTGAAACCTTCATTTGGGTGGCGGAGAGTAAAAACCTCACACACTGTGGAAGCCAGAAAAAGGTTTATGAGAACATACACACAGAAAAGCAGAGGGAAAGGAACTACATGACTAGAGAAAACAGAAGACTACTGCTAAATTTCACTCGTCTTAGAATGGAGAAGGTCTGGCACTACAGGAAGAACAAACATGTTAGGAAGCCAACAGGCAAATTTCTAACAAAAACTGCACACTGGATAATCTACTGAAGAAAATGGTAATTATCGCAACACTTGTCAGCATCTCAGAGACACTTTTTGTTCTTCAGAAGTACGTGATAAAGCGTGGCCACACTGGCATCACAAAACGGGAAAGGTAATGGGGAGAGATCGCTGTTCTGCCATTTCAGAACAAAACAACTAAAAACTGAAGACCCTTAACCACTCCAGCATGTATTCAAGATTAAAATACATAACTGAAAGCTGACATAACTTTCACAAAATAAAAGGTAATGTTCATCCATTGACCGCTCCCACTTAAAAGCACAGCTTAAAACAGCACTTTGTCAAGAAACAGAACAGTTTCTACTGAGAGGTCTTGTTCTTGCTACTGCGGTTTCCTTAAAGAATTCTGAGAAACTGTCAGGAATACTTACACAAGTAATGATACACGAAACTACCACTTCTGGTCAACACACTATTTCAACATCGCACACACGTAAATGTATTTGCTCCAACAAGAAGTGAGGCAAAGAAAGACTCTCCTTCCACATGAAATTTCAGTTCTTTGGCTCTGAGCCACTGCAGGAACTCTTAAGATTTCCCAAATTTCTAGGTCCATGGAGAAGGCTGCAGTTACGTATGGGCTCAGTTGTCAGAAAAACCATCAGAGTTTCAATAAACATTCAAAAAAGTAATCAAACTAAACCCAGCAAAATGTCTGATTTTCAACAAACTGACAAAGACTTGGGAGCATTTCAGAAGAGTTCTAGTTTGAAGCCCTGTACAGCCAACGTGGGGGAAGCTATAATATAGTGCAATTCCAAACTCCAAATCACAGTGTACTACACACATGGAAGTCCATAACATTCAATTTAATGCTTTTCATGTGGTTTTTTTTGCCTCGCTCTCTTCCTTTCAGAGAAGCTTTAATCCATTTTATTCATTTAACCCCAACTGATCGCCCAGTTCTCTTCCACAGCAAGGACTCAAGACAGATGCTTCTGTACCTCTGAATGAGGCTAAACCGGATTTTAGCTTAGGTGCAAAAGTAGCACTCCTTGCTTGTACAAAGTTCAGAACAACAAGGCTTCCATGGCCGGCGCTGCTCTGCACCAAACAGCTGTACAAAGGGCTGCAGGGCCTTCATGCACAAGCTATTACCAGAAATGGGCAACGAAAACTAGAAACTAAATACGAATCTTTACTCAGTATCCAATCCATGTTCTGGCTAGCAACGACATATGAAACAAGAAATGTTTTATTCCAAAACGTTCTGTAACTACATCCCTTCATGCTGGAAAGCTCCATAACTATGACTCTCCTGAAGCCAACCTGAAATCGGGAGATGTTAACAAGACTTTCAGGCATAAAAGGAAGCTTCGCCTGCGCCCATCTCAATATAGCTCCTTGCTAACTAATGCCATCAGAGGTTAAGCAACTCTTTAGAAGTCACATCAAAGCCACACTTGCTTCAAGATGATGCGAATGTCCAAGTTTGCTTTTCAGTATATAGCCAGTTTATGCAAAATATGACATGAATTTCAAATCCACAGTCTTACAAGAGAAAAAGCACCTCAACCTGTGGCCCCAGCAAGTGGCTCCAGCTCCTCATCCGTGTTTTGGGCACAGCTGCTAAGAGCAACGATCTCGCACTACATAGTAACTTTTAACTTCATCAGTTGCTCAAATAGTAGAAATTTTTTGGCTTGGTAGTTATTATTGTTTCTCTGAACTTACTGTTGTAGACTCCTCAATTTACGTAAGCACTTTCATATCCCTTGCTGAAACATGATTTTGTAACTTTCTGTAGTCATACTCTTCAGTAAATCACGTCAAATATTCCTATGCATACTTACAGCAGCAGTACACTAGAGGGACTATTTTACTTCTTTCCATAGCAGTGGTGTGTCCGAGTTTAAAATGAGCCTTATTATTTTGCTGGGCGTCACTTTCTAGTCTAGTTTCTTAAAAAAGAACTTAACAATACATGCAGTTCAAGAACAGACAAAGTACATTGTAAAAGCACTTCTCCACTTTTAGAAGAAACAGAAGAAAATCGTTTTGCAACTCAATGTCTCTCCAAACAGACAACATTTCCTTGCTATTGACAACTGCTGTCAGGACTAGGCTCATTTATATTTCTGATGTTTACCTAAACTGAAAACATGAAGTGATCAACAAATGTTAATGGCAATAGTTTCATAGTTCAAGCCAATAAAACCTAAAAAGACTTACTTCTGAGTTAGATCTTCAAAGCAGTTGTTTCCATATATGCACTTATATCAGGATACATTTTTCTAAGACACAGTAAAAGTCACCAAGAATTCACAACCATAGTACATATCCAGTCTTTTTTCAAAATCTGGGCATCTAGCTTAGTATTTGAACATTGCATTCTGTTGAAAACTGAGCTTTACTCCCTTGTTTGAAGTTCATTTATTTAGCAGATACATAGAAACAGATTAGCATAACAAAGCAGTTATTGTCCAATACCAGCCTACTTTTTGATGTGCTACTTTTTGATACATGTACATGACTATTGAAAGGCAGGGAGTCTTGAGATATGTACGTGCACATATTGATTATATATATAACATTTTTTATATATATATACACACTGGGTATATACACACACTGCCCAGA